ATTTCGGACGGTTTTGGAACGCTTGGAATCGATTGGATTGAAACGGAAAATAATCCAAATGTGAGTTTTGTCTGAATCTGTTTGTTATTTTGGCTACAAACTTGATAATAGAGATCTACATGTTTTGTGGTATAAAGTAGCCCCAGTTATACACATAGCGCAGCCTAAGAATGCTGGTGAACTTCTATTATTCTTCGGAATATTATCACACTATCTTCGTTTTTTTACGGGGGGGCAGCAACCATTTTTAGCTCATTTGAATGTACTGCTAGATAAAAACACCCCGTATGTGTGGAATAATGAGCATCACTCCCCTTTCAGTCGTGCCAAAAACGGTTTAGCATCAGTGCCACTTTTAGTTCACCATGATAGCAGAAAGCCTCTGATCATTCGGTGTGATGCTTCTCCATACGGAGTTGGAGCAATTTTGTGTCATAAAATCCTGAATGGTGCAATTCATCCTATTGAATTCGCTTTGCGTGCGTTACAACCGGCTGAAAAAATCCCTCAAGGCTTGATCGAGAGGCTCTATCAGTTTACTTGGGTGTCAAGAAATTGCAAAAGTATATTTGGGGCAGTCATTTTGAGATTCAAACTGATCATAAACCGCTGATATCCTTTTTGGAGGAATCCAAGGGGATCCAACAAATCTTTTCACCTAGAATAGAACGATAAACCCTAATCTTTAGTGCGTACGTATACAAAATATCTTACATCCCACGCTCTAATAATTGTACGGCGGATGCGCTGTGTCGGTTACCGCCCGCGACCCCCGCAGGGCCAATAGACGAAACGGTGGAGTTAGTTCAATTGATGCAGTACCCCTTTGACAAGGGACGTCATCCGTCCATGGACTGATCGGGATCGCAAACTATCCCCCGTGCTAACTTTCACGAAACTGGGCTGGCATAGTAGAATTCCAGCTGATTTAAAACCTTTTGGGCTTCGGGAAAATGAGCTGAATACACACCATGGTTGCTTATTTTGGGGCTAAGGTTTGGTTCCACCGTTGAAAGTGCGCTCCTTCATTCTAACCGTACTTCACAATGAACATCCAGGTGTTGTCTGAATGAAAGCCATTGCGCGCGGCTATTGTTGGTGGCCCGACTTAGATGCCGAAATTGAAAACTACCTGAAAACGTGTGATATCCGCCAACCATATCAGTCGAATAAACCTCCAGGTCCAATGCCCCTTTGGCGTTGACCTGAAAGGCCGTGCCAGCGTATCTATGGAGATTAGTTTGGTCCTTTGAAAGGAACATTTTTCCCGTTGATAGTTGATGCCTATTTGAAATGGATCGACGTTTCTCCAGGGTCTCATCCCACAGATGAAACAACCATTTCAATGTTGCGATCATGGTTTGCGGTTTTCAAAATACCTGAAACTGTTTGTAAAGATAATGAGCTCTGTTCTATCAGAAAGGATTTTGAGCGCTTTATGCAGAGCACTGGAATTCAACATGTGCGTGCAGCCCCGTATTATCCTGCGCCAAATGGATTAGCTGAAAGGGTGGTGCAGACGGTAAAAAGGGGCCTGCTAAAGCAGTTGTCGGGATCCAAGCAAACGCAGTTATACCGATTACTTTTTGGTTACAGAGTAACTCCGACAGAAACCATGGGTAAATCCCCCGCAGAACTGATGTTCGGTAGAACACTTCGTACTAGATTACGCCTAGTATCCCCTAATCGTCGAGCGCAAATAGAAGTGAGACACAACAGGACAGCTATGTTGGACAGGGATCACGATGTTTCCCAACCGGGAGATCCTGTGTATACACCACTTCCCTACTAGCAGTCATGGAATCCCGAAACCGTGATCACAACTAATGGTACCCAGGCTGATCTGGAGTTAAATGGTCGCGTCTTGAGGCGGCATTCAGACCACATACGTCCGCGTTGTGTAGGAACACAAGAAAATGAGGAAAATAGATCTGACTCAGTCCAGCCGACGGTAGAACAAACCATTCAGGATACGGCGTAAACAAATAACTGCCAACCACTGCGCAGATCTCAACGTGTACCTAACCCTGTTGAACATTTCGTTCCCGCTGTATTACTTTCTCCAAGAGAGGAGGGGATGTTACATCCATCGATGATATTGATTAGTTAGTTCAGCCATACCTCCTTCTTATTGGTTTGCCTCGCATTGACCAATCAATAGTTCCGCACACCATGATTTAACTCATGTGTCATGTGAGCCATGTTGCAGGGCTTCGCCTGATACACTTTGTCTCATACTGTGTTTTTCTTGCCTAACTGCGATCTGGGGGCATGCTTTGTTTGAATTCGTTACTACGTCCTAGTAGGGCAACCAAAAATATATAAAGAATGCTGCACATGCCGTACTAATTTCCAACTGAAAGCTTTAGGCCTGTACAGTGGCTTCTCGCCGTCAACGGGGTGACGTCAATCTGGTGTCCCAGATCATGGAAACACCCGTTCACGCTTGCCGCCACCTCCTGAAGCTTAGCAGCAACACAAAATTGGGGAGTCACCAGCTGAGACTGGCCACGCTACACAGTCGGCTGGAATGCCGCCGTAACTATTTTTCTCTTCGAATTTGTCGCCTCTGGAACGCTCGTTCTATTCTTGTTATTTCTGTGCCCACGCTACCCGTATACAAAAAGACTCGACGACAACTACAACACTCGTATTGGCTGATCTGATTTTTGTTCACATAGTAACAACCGGACGCAGACAAACATTGTGCTCACCAGCCCTCACGAAACCGGTCTAAACGGATATAAATGCGTGTGTAAACGTTTACACATGTGTGCTATCAAAGATGACTTACAGTGGGTGTATACTTGCGAATTTCTCCGTGAGTCCCCCAGTGTGGATCTAAATATACTGACAATTTTGCATATACTCCAAATTTCACTATGAGCATCCTGAGGAACCTGTTAAACCACAGCTTTTTACCTGTATAAAACATTGTTCCATTGTTCGCTGTAGTGGTTACAGTAAGGATGGGTGGCAGCAGTCTCCCTATTTCTATGTCAACGTAACCCACAACGCGCAGCGTGCGTCTGGACCAAAAGAAAGACCATGGACGACTTTTGTTGCAAAACCAAATCTCGTAGGAACATGATGACGGGCATTTTGATGACAGTCACGGTGGATGTGGTGTCGGGTAACGCTTCTTCAACACGCACTTTACCAATCTAAGCATCGGTTTAACCTCCTTAGCAGATTTACAGTATTATCTGAGCTTAACACGATCGTGGAGAGTATGCACGTGGTCTCTCTACCCGAATAGCAGCTGCCTAATGGAATCAGAAATCCAAGTGTCACGGTAGCAACTTTCAACATGATGTATCCAATTGGAAGGAGAGCTAGTTCTGATAGCCAACATTCCACAAATTATACGGACACTGAGGAAGTATTCGATGCATGCTTGTTGCATTTTCCTCTTTTGATTGCAAGTGGCAAGAATCGAAAGCATTTCGTTCGGGGTACTATGAATCCAGCGTTATTTCTCTAGCAACCTACAGTAAGTAAGCAGCTAAGGACTTGGCTACTGAATATGTAAATCAAATACCATCGAAGCACAATGAGGCTAGCTATAATGCACTGGGTAATGAGCCCCGATTATTTTGCCTACTGGGAGCGTACCTGAAATCAATAAATGCTATGTATTACTGACTCGGATACCTTTCAAGCACAGTACACTCGTGGACCTTTGCTGCATACTGGAGATTCCACAGTATGTACCTATACCGTTCAACTAGACCTTCACCCAAATATATCCATTCAGGATACGGTCCTCGAGATCGGAATGACCGAGGTTTACCTCAAAGTGATCCGAGATCTCAGTAGAGGTTGCGAGTCGCAACCCAACCACACAGCGTGCTTCCTAAATTCAACTTGAAATACAAATATTCCTGCCCGGAGTTTAAGGTCTGTTGAGTAAATCGTTCGTTTCGCACGGATGTTGTCATTCAATATGCAAGCCCTATAGCACGCTAGGTACAACTGTCTGTAGACCGTCAAGTGGTAGATCGTTTTTTACTAGTTCGGGCATTAGTTACGTGCGTTGGGAGGGAGTCCCAGGGCTGTGGCATCTGAAGGGATAAAACTGCCGTCGACATTTCAGTCAGCTGTACTGTCTGGCCAAATTCAACTGATGGCCCCCTCAGAGATCTGTTTGGATTGAGTTTGAAAACACAATGGTGTGGTGTTAGCTGGTAAGCAAGCAATCGTTGCACAAACAGACAGCCCCTACTATCACGGCGAAGTCGTGTGTCTGCCTCAATGCGTTCGACCAGGCTATCGATCGAGTGCGCGAGTGAGATTTTAGAACACCGCTGATTGTACCGGAACGGCAGAAAGGAGGATAGAAGACTTGTGGGCTGATCCGTTGTGTCTCCTTTCTTTTGACGCGGCTGGGATACCCAACCACTCAACAGGTGGTAAGTGTGGTTGGGATTTTAGGATATCGCCCAGTAGACGCCGATAATGTCCGCTGTACATTCTCAGCGTTTTTATCTTGTTAGTATGGAAAATGGGATAAACTCATAACGTTCTTTATAGTCCTTCCTTGTGCAGTTTCTTGTGCGATGAGATCGTGCTTTTACCAAGACTGTCAAACTTGGATGGCGCGTTTCACTTACTATCACGCGTAGGTGCCAATAACTCGCGGAAAATCCTTAATCTACCTGTCTAGCATGTAGAACCTTATTCCTCTAGAAATCATCGACTACAATTATTCATGGTTTAGACAAGCCTGCTGTAACGCAGTTCAAACTGTGTATCACTATCTTTCATATGTGTGCACCTTGCGGGCCGCTTACGCTGGCCCTGCTTGTGCCAACCTCAACAATACCGAAGCCATGACAGCCGGCTCCTGAGATCGAAGATGAGTTAGCTCGTACTAACGGTCAACTCAGTTCTGTAAATAAGCAAGTGTCTTTTTTGTTGTCTTATGTCCATGATTATAACTTCTTGTGGTAAGTAAAAAGGGCAACCGAAAATTGTTCCAAAGACAAATGTTAACCAACCTCCTGTTCCTCCAAAGTGAGAGCATCCTTTTGAACCTCAGCATTATTGGCTTCCTTTGGACCTTTTTCAATTCGATGTATGTCAAAAAAGCTGGAAGATGGAAAGACGTACAAAAGGACTAAATGCCCACGGTATGATGAAAGCGGATTTATTGGCAATTATAAAAGTGTGGATACTTGGTCCCGCTAAAGGTCCAAAGTTGCAAACGCATCGCTGCTCCAAAGAGACCACGTAGTCTTCGCGGCCCTCTTCTAACACTACGACTGGTGTTCTGGTTTGTTGCACACACACACTGTCGTCCTCTTGATGGTGGATCGCACAGAGAGTATTGAACCGCACTCTCCGTTGACAAGATGTAATTACCTGCGCATGAGGTGTGAGATAATTCGTGCACAAGGCCAGGAGTCTGGAGAAACGGATATCGGAGCACTGTCCAACGGTAGTAAGGAAAAGCACCCCCAGCTATGCATATATATATATATATATATATATATATATATCCCACAATCTATGTACTGATATTATGCCATCGGGACTATGGTGGAATAGGAAAACAGGGTTAGAGTAAAAGAATTGAAACGAACAATCTTTTTTGGTCTATTTTTCCACCCGCAGTTTTTGAGCTTTTGGATGTTTTTTATTGCGGGAGAGAAGGCGAACCACCGCAACAAGCAGAGATAAACGCCTGCCACTGAGTCCGGTTTCGAGCCATGACTTCCAAGGTTACCAACCAACGGCACTCAGCATCATTGGGACCGCATCAAGGGTGTCGGGAGGGCTCAACCGTGACCAGCTGTTTTGTCAGCTTTTCATCCTGCTTCTCCAAGTTGTAGGCTATCCACCAGCTGCATAAACAATTCCATTCCGAAACACTGCGTCTAAAGTGGACTTCAGAATAGGACCACTGATGATTTCAGAGCATATTATATCGTGACAAAAAGGCCCCCTAAAGAGCTCGGAAAGTGAAACATGCGGACATCAGATGCTCTCGCAACCAGGTCAGAGCACTGAGCTGTGTAAGTAGATAGCCGAACAGAACTTGGGTGTTACCTACCCGGAAACACCGTTATTTGACCTCCTCAGTTAAAAATAGCACGCATGGAGCCCGGGGCCATTGGGGTGTCAGTCGAAACCTCTACCCCAAAGCCACTGAGTCGCGGCGGCCAACACTTATGACAGCGGTTAGTTACTGCGTGATTAGCTTTCGAGGCGCATCGTGATTCCCATTGAAGTGATCCGTGCTCAACTGGGAGCGGAAGTGAGGCATATCCATATTGGGTGTTGTCCGCCCAAAGTGCGGCCACAATTCTGTCCCCCTGGCAGCTGTCGCTCACCCACAGGGGAACTGGTTGCGAACGAAAGTAGAATGTCAACGATCCAGCGCAGGCAACTTGTAGACGCTGGAGACGGGCAGCGGACAAGCCAAACAGTCTCCCAAATTGACGACAGTTTAGCAGTACATACATGTATTGCTACAAGATGTTGCCTTTGCTACTCCAGGCGTTTTGGTTTTAGCGTCACATGACTACCCGCCGCGATAAGCAAGGAACCACGTTGGAAATTGGGTATTGCCCACCCGAAAACACTGCACAACCACGACGCGTTTCGATGTAATTTCATCTCATCAGGTGGAGACAGCAGGCCTCGATCCCACAACCATTGGAATAGTAGCCGAAACCTCTACCCCATTGGCTACCGGGTCACGGTGGGTAACGCTTGGCTTGCGGGATTGAGGCCTGCTGTCTCCACCAGATGAGATGAAATTACATCGAAACGTGTCATGGTTGTGCATTGTCTTCCGGTGGTCAACACCCAATTTCCATCTGCTTTGCGTACGGCCCCAGTGATCGAGGTGACTATGGTTCATTACAATGTGAAGCACAGTCCATTACATTGAGATTGCGCGTCGCAATCCAATCACACAACGTGTAATCCAAACTTGACCCTCCAATTAGTCATCTACCGTTGTGACAAAAAGTGTTGCACATCCTGACCTGGTAGCCAAAGGAGTAGTAGTGTTGGCTGCTATTCCAATGGTCGCGGGATTGAGGCCTGCTGTCTCCACCTGATGAGATGAAATTACATGGAAACGCGTCGTGGTTGTGTAGTGTTTTCGGGTGGGCAACACCCAATTTCTATCTGCTTTGAGTACGGTCCCAGTGATCGAGGTGACTAAGGTTCACTTCAATGTGAATCACAGTCCATTACATTGAGATCGCGCGTCGCAATCCAATCACACAACGTGTAATCCAAACTTGACCCTCTAAGGAACCACGTTCCTATAAAACAGGATTGGTCAGTCAGCTGGGCTAGTTCATCTGTCTGAACACGCTCGGAATCACATAGTGAAGTTAGTACGATGTAGAATTAAAATGGAAAGCAAATTTCCACTGAACGGCTCACTTCAAAACCTTCTTTGCCGTAAGGGATGTAGTAGGATTGTAGGAAATGCATAATTTTTGACTGCCCTGAAAAAAAACAAAGGGGTCCATGAAGCTCCATGCACACACACGAGAGAGGTGTTTAAGAGAGAAACGTCACATGTATCTGTGCGAAGAATTATGACTCATGGGAGTAATTGGAACCGAAAAGTTTTTACATAAGAAAGACTTTTGAACAGAGTAATGGGCAGACGATGAATTGTTAGTTAACTTTGTGGCAACACATACACATGAAAACCTGAACCCACCGTCTTCCGCCACAGAATAGCTCGATACTGGCTTATTCCGTATGACTGTACATGGGACTTGGCTATAGCCAGCAGAAATGGATCTCGTTCCGTCACGTAACCACAGTATAGCTGATGATCTAGAACAGAGAATGCAAAGAAAGGTGCCGTTTTTAAAAGCACCGCTTCAACAGCTAATGGTGTGTGTGAAAAGGGTCCATAACACAGAACACTAAAATTACTTCGATCACGTCAATTTATGTAGTACACTTTACAAGTACTACATCGTAGCAAGCGTCTTAACAAAGAGCGGGATGATTCCACTACTTAGTGAAACATGGATCCTTTCGGAAAATTCCATTCAGTAGCTTATTACAATTGTCTTCTCAGTTAGATGAGGAGCAGATGAATAGAAATTATTGCAAATAATTCCGTTGTGCTTCTGAACTAACATCATTAATGTGATCAGGTCAGGACGAATAGCAAGGCTATCTTATAAGCGACATTTTTGTCCACCTTAACATGAAATTGCTATTTTTTGTCTGACAAATTTTGCTGACGTTTAATTTGCACTCAAGAATATTATTCTCCAGGGATACCTCGTCGCAGTTGTACGCAACCAAATTGCATCCAAGGGGTGCATAATTGCTCTAGGTGTTTATTAGGTTCTTTCGTTGCCGCTTCTGGCTTATTTCTTCCGCTCTGAGGAGATAAGAATCCTGAACCCTCCTTTGTTGTGAGACGTTGTGTACACCAGACTTCGTGAACCGACATTATAGGGCGCTGTCTCTAGATAAATGACTTGAACAGCTCGGGATATGGTGCTTCCCATAATCTGATGGTAAGTCATAATAATTGCTGGCGGAAGGACTGCGGATACTAGCTCCACGCCTGAGAGAGAGAACGGTCAATACTGTCGGATTTCTTGGGGCCGAAACTGTGGTTTGGAGATTCACTTCATGAAATGTAGGTTGTATACTTACGTGTAATTGTGCCGAAATACCTTCGAACTTATCTGACTTTCCTTCAGTCCAGCTATGTAAAATTACAGTTTCGCGAGCCACATGCTATTCTTTGCAAACGCAAGTACCATGCATAGAAATGACATTACAATTCGGTCATTTCACGTCCCTAGTTGCAGAAATATTTGCAGAGAACAACGGCTCACCGGTCAGCGCTTGTTATGTTTGGTCACGGTTGGAACTGTGCAAACTCTTCGACCAGAAATAGCAACATTTTTTGTTAGAGTGAAGTGTCAAGACCTAGGATAAAGCGCTACAAATGTTTAAACGGCTGTTGTTAGTTCACAACTCATTTGTTACGGTAGAATATAATACTGTGCTACTTTTGATACTTTTGTTTTTTTCTTTCACCACGCAGCTCCATTACATTGTCGTTAATCCATGTGTTTGCACTGTACACCTTACTGATATGATGCAATGAAGATGTGCTGTACTTGTAATCTAAAGCTATTAACTGACTTTACCTAGTCGTGCGCGGCCCCATTGACAACACAAATGGGACTCATGCGGCCCTTGCAGGGTCTACATTTCTACTTGACTGTTTTCAACAGCTTAATAGTGTGTGATGAGATAAAAAGCATAACTTTACAAGATTCACAGGATGGATATGCAAAAGAAAAATAACATCAAAATGTTCCAACGTGGAACGTGAAGTATCAGTGATTAAACCTTCGCACTTTATCAAACTGTTGTGTAGCGTTTATCGCTAAGATGAAAGTCTAAGAGGCTTTCGAAGGTCGTCATGTCTGGTGCGTTCACCACATATCTTGGTAATGTATTCCAATGAGAAGAGATTATAAGTGAGTAAAAATACTTCCTACAGTTCAGACGGGAGTGTTGAGTCATTGGTTTCAGGTGGTTGCCTCGGCTTTGTATGTAAGGGGTTAGAGTCAACAGTGATGTACATGGATGCTCGCCTTCAGTTAGTATCCGGTATGTGAGAGTCAGATCTCCGCGAAGCCGTCTGTATTCTAATGAGAACACGCCGAGTACACGAAGACGCAGTTTGTAACTTAGACCGGATAGTCCACGCGTTGCTTTTGTGGCTCTTCTTTGGGGTTGTTCCAACAGGCGAATGTCTCATTTTAACCCTGGGCACCAGGCCTGAATTGCATATTCAACGTGAGGGCGAATATAGCAGTTAATCAGCATTGGTATTAGCCGTCGCTCAAAGGAGCCGGAAGCTTGCCTCAAAAATCTCAAGTTTAAGTTCGCCACACTTGCTGCTTTCGAACATTGGAGCGAACTGCACAATTACACCTAAGTCGCGTTCACTAGCCACGTGATACACGATGTGTTGCCCCAAAAGGTAAGCGTTAACGCAACTGCTGCGCACCGTCAGCAGGTGCCAGTTTGCAGGGTTCAGTGGGAGCTGGTTCATTTCTGCCCATTCGTTAACCCGAATCAGATCGTCTTGGAGATAGACATGGTGGGATGCTGAGCGCAGGGCTCTCCATATTTTAGCATCATCTGCAATTATTTGTGATGGAGATAGAATGTCTGCTGGAAACTCATTAATGTAGACTAAAAACAGTTGCGTGCCAAGGACGGATCCTTGTGGTACACCACTGGAGACGCACAGATTTGCAGAGTGAGTGTCTTATATTGATTGCTCTGTCGGGTAACTAATCTTCTAACCAGGTGAGCAGGGAACCGTTGATACCGTAGACAGCAAGTTTTTGGAGAAGAAAGAAGTGATTGACCATGTCGAATGATTTAGAAAAGTCCAAGTAAATCCATCTATGGGGACTCCTTCTTCAGCCGCCCTGGTCCATGAGTCCCGAGTAATCAGCAAATTGGTGAGACAAGATCGTCTGCTTCTGAAACCATGTTGGACATTAGAAATTATTTGTTGACTTTCAAAGGATCGGGTCAGTTCATCTGCGATTATCGATTCCATCACTTTTGATAAAACAGGAAGGAGAGTAATAGGTCGGTAGTTGGCAGGATCCGATCGCTTACCTCCTTGGTTTTAATACCCAAACCAACAATGATTAACTTTTGCTTATTTGAAAGCATGTATCCACAGTTTTTCAGAACAAATTCAGTGAGTTATGCTCAGTACTCGGCGGTTTAACTATACAGGTGGATTCGAGTAACCTGAATGATTGTAATGTGCACCATGGAAGATATCAGGTTTATTTCACGCGCCTCAGGACTCACTCTCGAATACAGGTACAGTTGAATGTACATCGAACTGTTGCGGTTTCTGTTGCCAAGTCGTCGGTAAAGTATCAGACGTACTAGGCTCACTTGTTTTGAAGGTTACGTGGCCGAAAAATCGTCATTTCCTCTTCTTGGAGTACCCATTAGCCTCTAAGCACTTAGTGGAGCAGGCTATGTGACTGAAGTATAGTGTACGTACATGGCATATTGCGCAATGATAGATGACGTAAGAGCAGAGTTGTGTCTCCAACACAGCGTGCAGCCAAACGTTTACTATGGCTAAGGTTTTTAATAAACAGAAAATCAACAGCACATTTCACGTGTCTAAACGACCAGTCATCCGGAATAATGCTGCGCTTCGATTTTAACATAGTTGTTAAATCACACCTCGCTCACCATGAAAGCATCGATGGACGCCTTCTTCGATGTCACAAACTCTCGCTATTCCGTGCCTGAATATAGCACTGCATGAACGAGTTACTCTTATCAACAATATTGTTGGCCCACTCGCAAACTAACAACATAAGGATGAATCACGTGATAGAAAAATCGAAGATTTGAAACTGATCACAAACGAAAATTACCTAGACGCAAGAATAACAGATCAACGAGCTTAATCTTAGGGTCATGATGTAGCGACAGAACAAACGCGGCAATGAAGCACGATCTTTATTGGCGCGAAAACACACTGTCTACCCACTCACGCGGGCACACATTAATGGGTCAGCTTTCCTTCCCAAGTTGTACCATCCCTCTTGGCCTCCGCTCGTGACACTTCTATGCTCCTTCTGGGGTACGGGAAAGCATCTTCTGTATCCGTTTCGCCCGTGTATCTTCGTTTCCTCACCTCCGATTCTGGCAAAGCCGGAGTCGTTCGATAGCGTGCGCTTTGCTTGACCGTGGGTGTATCACTCTCCCCGGGGTTGTTTCTTGAAGATGCGATACCGGCGGTTTTGTCCGATTTATTGTGTCTTCAACAAATTCCCCACCTGCTTTTTCTGCCTCGGGCTCACCCACTGATGCCGCTCCTGTCCCGTTTCCGTCTCGTGCTATTGGGCCTGGGTTTCGCCAGCGAATCGCCCCCATTGCATCGGTCTCTCTATTCGTCGGCCTCCGTTTTACTGGTCTAACCGTCCATTGGGCAAACGCTGCCTTCCGCCTTCCTACAATGAGCCCCAAAGAAGCTTCAGGGAAACTGTTAATTGTTTTTGTACACAAAGGATAGGGTGATGCCTGTTAAATGCCACCGCCTCGGCAAACGTCAATACTTTGGGGTTGACATTTCGATAGATAACTGTAAATGTTGACCTAGGGTCGACCTGATGTCTGGCGATCGATGATGCCGGCAGCTTAGATACCTTTTCTTGTTCGGCTGCTGGTTGTGTCGATATTTTAGTAATCCGTTTTGGGATATGCTCTCCACTGCGCTTACCCGAGGATCGATCTGTTCTGCCAATGTAATTACTACCGCAATTACAAACGAATTGGTAAATACAATGGGTTGTGGCGGAGATCGGTTGAGTAGGCTTCACTTCATGTGATTCATCTTTATGTTGCTAGTTTGCGAGTGAGCAGATAACACGAAATGGTTCCATCTCGCAATACCAGTCTTCTCATTGTCTTATTTAGAATGATAAAGGGAACTCAGAGCTTTAAATATTGTTGGCGCTGCAGCTGCTAACCTCAAGTGTTTGTCACTTTAGTGTAGTGTCATTAACAGGCTCAAATCTGAATTAACCCAACCAACATTAATTTCGGGAGAACTGACATGTCGCTGCTTTTGCTAAACATGTTCACCTTGTCAGTTGAACATGACCATTTTCCGGATCACTGGCAAACATCGCTTTTTATCCGTTTTCATAGAAGGGCCCCTAACAGAAAGTCGCTGACTACTGTCTGTTCACCACATAACCATAACAGCTAGCCTGCTTGAAGGTGGGTTGATGAGCTTT